AAACTCGTTCAGTGTAATGTGAAGTATGAACTCATATTTTGCTCATCCTCTTTTCAATTTGATATTCTCTTCTTTATTTCAGTGTTGGTTTCTTTTATAAATTTCCCATTATTTTGGTTTAGTTTGCATTGGTTAAACTGGTGTAGTCGCTTTGGCTCACAGTCGTACCAAATATACAACAAAAAGAAAGAAAAACAATCTTAACACTGCTATCCATTTCCCAAAAGAATTACGTTTTTCCATTTACTTTTTAAAAATATGTTTTGTACAGAAAAATGTATCGCTGTGATAGAGACCACCATATATGGTTAGCTTTTCTTACCCTGTAGTAATTTGGCTCAACCTCTAAACCAAAACAAATCTACATGAATTAGCAAATCTCCCAGCTTCCCCAATCTGATACTTGATCTGGTCTCTGCACAATACCACTAAAACACTATTCCTCATACCAAACTTGGACTTGATGTATAGCTTTGGTGACAATGGACTTCTTGGTTTGGTTGAAACCGAAGACGAGGCGATATGATTTGGGGTATCGAGTATGGAGGAAGTTGAGATAGAAGATCCAAATGTATTGGCATCATCATTATTAGAAACACCAATAGATTTCCATCCATCAGAAATAAGTTGCAGGGTTTTCTTTGTGGGAACAACATTCTTCTCTTCCATTTCTTCAAGAAGCTCTTCCGCTTTCCATGGCTGCTTCGCTTCCCCATATCCCCATATAAGAGTCTCGTAAGTAGTCAAGTTAGGCGATAAACCAACTATTCCACACATTTTGTTATATACCTGCATCGCTTTCTTCATTTCACCCGCGCTGCACCAACCGCTTATGATTGTTGTGTAGATCACCACGTTTGGGCGAACACTGAATTTTCTCATCTGATTCAAGATTTGCTCTGCCTTTTCGGGCTCTCCAGCTCGAGCATACCCTTTGGCAAGGATACTAAATGCATGAATGTCGGGATCTATTCCTCCTTCCAACATATCTCCATAGATCTCTTCGCATCTTTTCATATCTCCTACAGAGCTCCATGCATTCATTAGAGTGCTAAATGTTACCACATCTGGTTTTACTCCGAATTCTTCCATCAGATTCACTACCTGCCATTTTAACACACCCGTATATCAAATCAAAATGAACGAGAGCGAAAATTATTGGAGAGTTAATGAATTAAAGCATACCTCGCCAACTCCATCCATGTCATTGATGGCAAGGAAGCCTTTGATTAGAGAGTTAAAAATAATGAGATTTGGATGAACTCCAAGTTCCTTCATTCTATAGAAAAACCTCAAAGCTTCTTCCATCTTTCCCTCTTCACAGTAGCCATTCAGAATGATGCCGCAGGTACGTACATTCGGTTTAACTTTGTTGTGTAACATCCTTGGTATGATCATATCCTCAGCTGTACATGTTGACCCGATCCGTGCATACGCTCTTGCCAATGTGTTAAACGTGACTACATCAGGTTTTACCCCAAAAGATTGCATCTTATATACAATGTTCCATGCTTCTTCAATCCTCTTTTGGTTACACCAAGCCTGTACAAGTATGTTACATGTTCTGTCATTTGGTTGGAGCATCTCATCCCGTAACATCGTCTCAAGGAGTCTTGATGATTCCTCCAGCTTACCGATTTTCCCATATCCTTTTATGAGAGTATTAAATGTACTTGCTGTGGGTTTACATCCACTTTCTTTCATTTTTTCAAAGATCTTCATTGCTTGGTCGAGATTTCCAGACTCGGAAGAGGCATTGATGATGGCGTTGAAGAGAATAGTGTCGGGTTTGAGGCCGTTTTTCTCGAGTTTGGAGATGAGGGAGAGGAGAGAGTGGAAATGCTTTTGACGGGTCAAAGCAGTCACAAGAGTGGTGTATGTGATGATGCTTGGCTTGTGGCCTTCCTCAATAAGTGTGTTGAAAATGGAATGTGCCTCTTGTGGTCTCCCTCGTTCTATCAAACCATTCATCAGTTTGGTCCTTGAACGAACATCGCCACAAGTTGTACCACCTGAACATATCACACAAGGAATTGACCTCAATTGCACTCTCCGATCCTGTGAAGCAAAGGCATCCGTTATCTAAAGCCTCTCTTAATATTCAACTAAACAATGATTATATCACAACCACTGCTTTTGGGATCTGTATTTCTTAGCACAGTCATAATCTGAAATGGGGATAGGATCAAAGACGTTTGATAGTTGAATCAGAGTCTCTACTTTCCACATAACAGGACTGTTGTGTAAGTGTTGAGAGCACTCTAAAAATTTTAAAAGTTCGGAATCTTACAGATCTCAGAATAGATAAATGACTAAACCCTTCAACTCAATCATCTTACAGATCTCAGAATAGATAAATGACTTACTTTGGAATCTTTAAAAACAGCTTCCACATCATCCAAATTTGCTTCTTTGTTCTCTTCGAACACGGGTGGTTTGTAATCTTTCTTGAACCAAGCATCTTCCGAAATCTCTGGAATTGTGATACGCTGCCATGTAAATTCACAGTCAATTAGTTCCACCATTGAAAAGGACGAGTGTCGTTAATTTACCCACATATGTTTTAAAATGATCAAGTTCTACATGCAGGACACAGATAGAGCATCCACTAAGTATGACTATAAGATGCGCTTATATATGGGGCTAACAATTGCAGGAGGGCCATAGAAAATTAAAAAGCAAGTTTCAGATTGTTGGGGTTTGACAGAAGAAAACAAAAGAAGAATAGATTTAAATCTTGAAGGCACTGGTAAACTGAGATATCTTACAGTCATTGGGTTTGGATCCAAGATTCGGCTGATCAAGTTCTTAGCATCAGAAGAGAGCCAAGGAGGACAACTGAATTCAGCAGATGAGATCTAAAAACGACAAAAATGCAACATAGGAATCACAGATAATAGTGAGGAAGAAGCCTGAAAATAAATTACAAAACCTGTTACCTTTTTGTACAGCGTCTTGAGATTGGAATCTTCGAAAGGCATGTACCCAACAAGTAGTACAAAGAGTATCACTCCACAGGACCACAAGTTTGCAGTTTTCCCATCGTAGTCTTGATCATTAAGAACCTTAGGAGAATGACAACAAGGAAGCTATTAAACACAATGGTACAGCAACCGSATGACAAGCCACGTGACTAAACATACCTCAGGAGCCGAATAGTTTGAAGTTTCGCATGCAGCGTGAAGAAGACCATCACCCTTCCAAAAACCAGATAAGTCCCATAAGCTCAGAATCTAAAAAGATCAGTCCTACATATCTTATTAGATATTTGTAAATAAAATCAACAAAATACATTGTTGCTGAACTTCAGGCACAGTCACTAGAATAGGACAAGGAAAAGTCAGTAAGAATTCAGGCAAACCAAAGGATGCTAAGAAATTCAGTGGTTACCCTGACTTGTTGGGACAAGGCACTCAGTTCAAAATCAGAGACTTTCAGATTTCCTTGAGCATCAAGAAGCAAGTTTTCTGGCTGCAATGAGAGAGTAAAGAATACAAAATCTAGAAATCAGCTAGCTGGACTAAAAGAAAACACATAATGCAAACTTGGGCCCAAGATTTACCAAAAACATCTCATGTACCTTTAAGTCTCTGTGGTACACTCCCCTGCTGTGGCAGTAATCAACTGCATTGATAAGCTGCTGGAAATATCTCCGGGCTTCCTCTTCTTTCATGCGCCCGTCATTTTTCTTCACAAGTTCAAACTTAATGCATAGGTTAAAGACCAAAGATAAAAGAGTTTCATCTGTAAAATACATGATTCAAACACCAAAGGATAAGACAAGATACAAGTTAAGGCCGTTGGGAGGGAGAAGGAAAACTCACAATTTTGTCAAAAAGCTTTCCACCACTGATGAACTCGAGGACAATATATATCTTCGACTTGCTCGCCAAAACCTGAAATGATTTCAGTTATATTTCCTTAAAAGTTAGCTTTCAACTTCGGTTAAGAAGAGCTCTTAATTCGTGGCTAGACATAAGCAAGCCAAAGGAAAATAGAGACACATTGAGAAAAGTTGAGGCACAGAGATAGACCTCGTACAGCCGCACTACATTTGGGTGGTTTATCAGCTTCATAGTAGAAATTTCTCTTTTGATCTGTAAAAGCAAAAGGGAAAGACCCACATCATATTTCCAGATTGAAGACACATCCATCTGTGAATCTAGCTTTTGGAAACCACATTTTACTTCCAAGAAATGTAAACGGGCATATCAGTGGACGAGAGGGGAGGAGTGAAAAAAAACTGGATGCCGATTAGGAAAATGGATAACCTGTTCAACCATCTTATGCTTGAGGACTTTCTCTTTATCAAGGATTTTAAGAGCCACGGATTCTCCTGTCTCAGTATCCTTAGCGTACTTCACTTTTGCAAAAGTACATTCGCCAATCGTTTTTCCAACTTCATATTTTCCAACCCAACGCCTGATCTTTGGCTGACTCATCACTCAGAGTTCACCTCTTGGTCTTCACAAGCTGTTTCTTGAAAATGTAATAATCGATATTAGAATACAATCTCTAAAGAATCCAAGAGAACAGTCAACATAGTGTTTGTTTTCGCATATCACCGAAACAAAAATGCTGTCACGAATCTAGCAGCAGAGGCTGCAGAGTACAGAGTATTTCCCCTGAATTTGCAATCATCCTTTCTTGTAATTTCAAACAATAGACCAAACCCCCAATAATCATGCGACGTTGATAGGCATCTATATAGTTCATGCATAAGCGTAATGCGCATATCCAAATTCTCCACTAATAAATGACCGTAAATACAACTAAAACAGAGATTCTCATGTTAGCTCAAAAAT